GTCTGTTAGCCTGGCATGGGTGGGGCCCCCTGAAGCCTGCTGCCCACATCACATTGCCCCCCACCCATGAACTCACCATATATGAGGTCATATGACCTCACTATAGCCTCTCCCCAAAGCATTCATTCACATACCTGTTCCTATGGCTACCCACTCCCAAAACTACAGCAGGCTACAAGGAATCCCTGAAATGAAGAGAACATACTAAAGAAAAAGGAGGGGGTGGGAACAGAACCCAAGGGGAAAGATTAATCACCTTTTCAGAATAGAAAGCAGCTTCCTTTCCTCTTCCACTTCTCTCTGGAAACATTTCCAGTCTGGGAAACCAGAAGAGTATGTTATATGCAATGAACGTAGAGGCACAGGGATCATACAGAAGTCACTCTGTGGAAGACCCTTGGGATATTAAACTCTGATAGCCCCAAGAATCAGTAGAAAATAGTCCCTGATAATACAGTCATTGATAATAGTCATTGATAATATTCACAAGTTCACATGTGTATGTGGAATCATTAGTAAACTTCTTTCACATACATTACCCCATATGATACTCAAAACAACCATGTGAAACACAGACATCAGTGGTTACCTCCAAGAGGAATCCGAGCATCGAGGAAGTCAACATACTTATGCAAACTTGTGAGACAGAAGCTCTGACTCCAAGTCAACCAGTAGTCCTTCCTCGGTATCTCAGTTGGCCACAAATTGGGCAACACCCATCACTCAGGTCCATCACTCCATCATGCCCATGAATGGGCAGAGCAGGGCCTATAAGCAGTGTCTCAGGTCTGATTGCTTTCCCCTCAGCCTGTCTTCTGAGGGCTCTGTTTTCTAAGACTGTATCTAGTAACTTGACATTCTAGGAATTCATTGGACTGAGTCCTCATGAAAGACACAGAAAGGGTCACCCTTGAAGCTCAGATAGAGCAGACTGACGTTACCTTTAAATGTCCCACCTTTCCTTCTCCTCCTGGCTCTGCCCTGATGCTGAGGACAAAAGAAAGATAATGACAGACTGGGACTCACTTCTCTCACACTCTATGAAGTTCATTCATTCATTCATTCATTCATTATACAAGAATCATATGACTCTTTAATTACAGAAATACGTTCCTGTTGTCAATTTTTAACGGAGATAAAATATTTCCCATTTTCCCTTCTCCAAAAAATCCTCAAAGAGGATTTCTTCTGTGAGAGCCACACTTGATGTGCTGAGTTAGAAGTCCTCATCCAGGGCACAGACTCAGAGTCCAACAGTCACATCTGTGCTCCCTCACAGGACAAGTGTCCCAGAGACAGACCCCTGGCTCCAGCCTCTGCTCAGAGACTCTCAGCATTACTCCCCTGGTCAGCCCAACATGAAGGAAGGCTTTGTTGAATGACAGGTGACATGGGAATGTGACTCATGATCAAATTTCAGCAGAGACTATTCTCCTTCAGAGAACCCACACTCTCTAAATAATCCCATCTGGGACCACAGAATTATTGTGTTTAGGATTTTATCCCGGAACTCTCCACCACAGCCAGATAGGTAGTCTATGAGCTACAGATGGAAACCTTAGTCCACCTGAACCAATAAGTCTGCCCAGTCTCTGCCACAGAAGAGTGAAGCTCTATCCTCTCTTCAGAGTTCCCATGTAAGATATGTCTCTGAACCAACCAGACTTATTTAGAAGTGTGGGAATAGGATTGGGAAACAACAACAGGGCATCTCTCTTGGGTGTTCACCCACAGTTCCTTACCTTTTGGATGTCATTATTTTTTTCGGTGGGTGACGAATACAGGGTCAATACCACGTAGAACAAGTACAGTATAAACAATCCCAACCCACTCAAGCAGATGAAGTTGGGGTCAATATCCAAGTAATGTGAGTCAGGGCTCAGCCCTGTCTCAGTATAGCTTCTGAGAAAACAGAGGATATTCTCCATGGTCTGAATAGCTCGGCTGCCTGAAGCAACTGAGCACTAAGGGTGCCCAGACTTAACTATAAACCCAGGCCTGCATCACAGAGCATGGAAGAGTCACAGAGGGTTTCTGAGGGTGGAGGGAGCAACAAAAGGGGGGTGTGTCCACAGCCCCAACCCTACCAGCACAGCCGACTCTCCTGGGCTCTCTGGGTCCCTTTGCCCTATCCTGCCACTCCATTTCCCAAGTCTATCCTTTTTCATGTCATATATTTATCTTAGTGGAATTTTCAGTTTGTTCCAACAGTAAACCAGGCATTACCCAAGTCTTGCTTTACTGTTTGGAGCCTTTAACTTGAACCCCACCAACTACACTCCCTTGAAAGCCTGAAATACTGCCTGGAATATTTGTTGTACCCAGGCATTGCCACTCTCAGGATCACATATGTCCTCAAATCCGTCTTATCTGCAGAATGTTTTTGCCTTACATAAACGCAGATATAAAAAAGTTCCTTTCCACTTACTTCATTTTGTCAATGATGAACATTACATTTTTTGTTTTGAAGTCAGGCTTTACTATTTCCAATCAGAGGAACTGACACAAATTATTATAACTAATGTTACTGAGGAAAAGCAGCTCACTGTCCAATTTGGGTTTTTCAGAAAAGAAGGTTTTTATTCTAAATAAACCAACAATAAGACAAGAGTCCAGCTCAAATCCGTCCCCTGTGCTGGCTTTCATGCAGTCATTTTATTAGAAGAGGTTTAGGGAGTGGCCTCTGGACTTCATAGTCGGTTGGTGGAAGGAAAGGGGAGGTCTGAAAGTCCTCGGCATGCACAGTTTTGTTTAACACTGCCTCATGTATCACATGTGCACATTTATGGGGAGTTGGTTGAAACGTGGCAGAAATTTGTGCTGTGACATCAGCCAGCTTGTTCTGTGCAAACTCCAGTTGGCCTTAATAGCTTTTATCCATTTTAGCCAGTTTTTAAATCTCAGAAGCAGGAAGAGTTCTGGCATTTTAGTAAGTTATTGTTGTTGCTGTTTTTTAATCGGCTATCCTGTAAACTGATTAATTTCATTAGTCATTGGTTTCTTCAACTCTCTGGGACATGGTTTCACTAATAATGCATTATTTAACATCTACAAAATGAAAATAAGTGTACAATAAATGTATATAATTAAAACTTCAAGGGATCTTGGGGTTAATTTACAGAACTTACTTTTCTGAAGTTAGTGAAGTTTAAACTGTTCAAGCATTTTTGGAACGTACTCTCTACATAAACACACATATACATCGACCTAAAAGGAAGAAGTTGAGGCAAATTATTATAAGTAGAGAGTTCATTTGGGTCAAGCTTGAGGACTGCAACCTGGGAACACGGATGCAAGTCAGCCTAAATATACACTCCAATTAGCAGTAGTTATAAGTGGGTTTTTAAAGTCAAAAAAAGAAGTCAAGGAGTGAGCTGATACAAAGCTGTTATCAGGAATTCTCATTGGTTTACAGAAGCAACATTGATTAGTGATTGGCTATACATCATTAAACTATAGGGTGTAGGTTATAGTGTCAGGTGTGGCATTACTGGGTTACTATATAACTCCATGTGGCAATAGCAAGCAGTTTCAAGAGATGAATACATAGCTCAAGGAGGAAATAAGGCTGTGATTTCTGTCTCATTTTACTGTCTCTCCAGGCCTGACAACTTAAAAGGACTCACATTTCTCAGATAAAAGTTATTTTCTTTACAAACACACCCACACACCTATCCTGTGACAAATCAAGTAGTATTTTCAAATCCAGACTCGATTATTTCCTCCGTTTATTTCAATCTCTTATTTGTCATTTTGACCCCACATTTTCTAAGTCTACCTCAAACACAGACAGTCCCAACCCTCTATATCAATTTGGTAACAAGTATGCAACTCCCTTAAACCAGGGATTAGTTACAGTGCCCTAAGGTATTGTGATCTAAAAGACCAAAATAGATGCCCCTTTATCAACTAAGACAGACCCTAAGGTTAAGGAAACAAAGTTACCTATGGGTCAAGGGTTCAGGGCCTGGATGGCATGGCAAATTTCCTAACTTTCTATAACTAAACTCCCTCTAACCAAACGAGCTATCAGCTGTGATCGGACAGAGGACCGGCCTTACAAACATTCTTTTCTGACAAGCTACTAATATTAGAGATTGCCAGTATCTGCCAGCTATAGAGGCTGCACACAAACCACTTTTGTAGTTCACTTTATGATGTAAAGGGTCAAATTCTACCTCATTTTAGTGCTAAACCCCCATTCCAAAGTCAACATGGGATGTACGTTACATATGTTTACTCATTATTGTGTACTGGGTACCCACATAAGTATGTATAGCTTCTCCCCCAAACTTGTTGAATATGTATGAATATGAATATACAATCCAACCTGTCCTTCCCCTATTCCAATAGAGAGCACCTTCAGTCCACACTGGATGCTCTCCCTTACTGGCTTGCAAACTGATAAGAGCAACGAGGCTCTGCTTTCTACTATTAAGTCATCCTGTTGGTATTTCGGATGATACTACTGATGCCATCAGTCTTTGGTAGCAGAGTGGGACTTAGTTGTGCCAAAGCCTTAGAGCAGAATGGAGTCTTAGGCAACCTCACCTGATTACACTGTGGGCCATGTAAATGTGATCTTTTCCTGAGTGCTTTGGCATCCTAAAATACTTGAGAACATCTGCTCTATATTCTATATAATCACCTCTGCAAATGTCCAAATACCAACTGCTTGTCATACTTTATTCGGGCGACTCTTGTCAGGTTTAAATAATCCCAGTATCCCCCACCCCTGACCCATCTTCCTACACATTCTTTTCTAAACTCTTTATCATGACAGCTGTCCTCTAAACTGTCTTTTAATTTCTTATGTCTTTCTTAAACTATTATTAAAGCAAAATAAGTATGGCTTGAGAAGGACTCCATACTTCTATATTTGAGTCCTTGGTGATAAACTGTAACCTAGCTTAATAGTCCAATAAATTGAAAACCTAACTCAATAGTATGCACCTGTAACAACAGCTGAGCATTGGCCAATCCCAGCGGCCATACTTCAACCACTCATAGACTGCTGAATGTTCAACCTGTGTTCAAATAAGGCAAATGCCAAGCTTTAAACAATCTCACTCTTTCTGTACCTCACTTCCAATTCCTATACATCACTTTACCTTTTCTGTCTATAAATTTGTTCTAACCACGAGGCACTGCTGTGATTCTGGGGGCCGCCCAATTCACAAATCGTTCATTGCTCAAACTCCTTAAATTTAATTTGTCTAAAGTTTCTTTTAACACTATAAAGCTCTTTATTTGACACCAATGGGCCATCAGTGTTCATCAATCTCTTTTGAAGGGATAAGACAGCCTCCAAGCCAGGCCAGATCTCTTTTCAATTATGCAGAAGCAGGTAACTGCCTTGAGGATAAAATCTCCCAAGAGATGCCCTTTCCTCTTCTCTTTAATATGCAGCCTCAGCCAAGTTTTCATCTAATAAATATTTACTGCTGGAAACTAAGAGACACAAGCATCTGTAAGCCACAGGCTCCACCCTTGACCTCCTCGTGCAGTTGGAGCAATTAGTTCTATGCAGCTCAAGAGGTATACAAATGCAGAGGACAGAGGTTCCCCTGCCTCCAGCATTTACAATCGCCAAGCGATCTCTGGAACAGAGATACTGTGCGTCATAACTCCTCAGACACATCATGCTCTTTAGCAAAAAATTCCTGCACGTGCACCCTCTCCAATTTCCTGATACGGATTAATGATTCTTTGAGGAGATGGTCAAAGAACAGCTTCTCTCTTTTAAAATGTCATTCATTGGCTAGAAATCTTTACAAACATATGTGTGCTACAGTTAAAACCTACCGGAAGTTTCAGTAAAATGGC